CGTCGCCTCTACGCCCGACTCGACTCCGATGACGAGGCCACCTCCGACCTCTCGGACGAGGCCTTCAAGGCCGGCCTCGCCTCGCCGCCCTCCATTGTCTCCAGCCTCCGGGCTCGTTCACTCGTCCAGCGGCTTCATCGCCTATTCACCAGAGCCCTTCGTCATCGCCTCTCGCCGCTCTTCGCCAAAAGCCATGACGACACAACCGCAGACAGCTTCGAATTGCCCGACTTGGCCAACCCGCCCACAGCGGAGAAATGGAGGACACAATTGGAACAGGTCAAGTCGACCGTCTACTCGCACGCTTCAAATGGCGATTTTGCCGACTCTGAAAGGGAGTTGGATCATCGGCCGTTGCTCGACCTCTTTCATCAGTTCACTCGACACTCGTCGCATGGAAAAAGCGACACCTTTCACCCCAACGCCAAGTTCACGCCCGTCTTGTTGGGTCGAGTCGCCGAGAAACGCGTAAACCGGGAGATGTAGACACACGATTCAGGTTCGTCTTCACCCTAGCCTGGAGGCAACCACTAGCCTTGAAGGCCATAGCAACGTTAAAGTTGACTCTATGATCTCTTGCCACGAAAACGCGATTGTGATTATTTCCTTATTCATTTCCTGATAATTTATTTTTTCGCTAAACTCTTCACTTCCTTCCAGTACTTATATCGTGATTGACTGCAAGTCGCCCTTGACGCACTCTTGGCAATCGTGTAGCCCCTGGTTCGAATCCTGCCGGGTGTACAGATCGTGGTGAGGCTACAGCTCTTGGTCAGTCCAAAAAAACGGTTTTTAGACTCCGAAAAGATATGAATTTGTTTTGGGGAAGATTCATCAACTAGCAGGCCTGTCTTGGAAATGCTTTACAAAACCGCCATTATAGAATCATAACGCCGTTTAGTTGCCATCGCTGCTGCCATTTCAACACATCGTCAGTCCTAGGCGGTTCAAGCAAATGTAAGGGATGATAGTTTAATTGCAGACCTCTTGACGCTAACAAAGTTTACATATACTTTTATCTCCAAAAAAGAACTTTCTTCCAGCTTGTCGTCAGCAGTCAAAGCAAGATTTGGAAACCGTGTATCATGACTTTTATCTTAAAGGAATAATAAGTTAAAGCAAATTCGTGAATTTAGGTGACCGGAAATAGTATGAGGATTACCTTCGATTGTACAAAGAAGTCCTCGACGATCCCGATGAACTTGTGCTAGGCTTTCGTCCGTCATTTGATACACGTTGTCAGAGTAAGAAACCATCTTTTCGAAATGGCGCAATAATAGACCAAATCAAGTGAATACATGCGCTATGTCTGATTATTTCTGTAGCATGAGACGGGCTCACAAAACTGTGGATTGAGGACTTCTTCTCGTTAATGAGATGTATTCACCCTATTTCGTCTAAGGTGATGAAGGACTGGTAGTAGAATTTTCCCACAATGACATTAGTTGAGCTGACGTTTCCCTTGAATTTCATATAGCCTTGCTTTGCCAAAAGTTGTTCTCATCCTGGGTGGACTGCAGTTTCGACCTCCCATCGGTCTTATCAACACCCTCAGCG